AGAAACGTCAAATATGAGCTTTAGAAATTGGCAAACAAAATTTCAAACGTAACGTAACTATGAGCTTTAGAAATTGGCAAAAGAGTGAATTGAATTTGCCAAAAAATTGATGTTTTCAGTTTTTCGTTAATAACTCGAAAAGTAAGAAACTTATTTTATGATTTTATTACATAATCAGATGCATGCAAGCGTTGCGCAACTTTTTATGTAACAAAAGTTACGTAATTTTCGTTACGTAACAGAGAAACGACGATTTTTCGATTTTTTTCAGTTTTTCGTGAATTTCTCAACAACCCTTAAGATAATTACATCATCGACCACTCGTATGAAAGCTGAATGCCTCACCTTTCCAACGAGCCTATTGGCATTCGTGCTGTCGTCGAGTCGCATGCTATGAGCTGTAGAAATTGGAAAAATGTGAATAGAATTTGTCAAAAAATGGTTGTAATTCAGTTTTTCATAAATTTCTCAACAACCCCTTAAGATATTTACATCATCGACCACTCGTATGAAAGCTACATGGCTCACCTTTCCAACAAGCCTACATACATCTTCGTGTTGTAATCGAGTCGCCTGCTATGAGCTGGGAATGTTTGGAATTTTTGCTTTTTGACGTTTCTGGAATGTGTGAAATTTTTGCTTTTTGACGTTTCTGGAATGTTTACTTTTTGACGTTTTTTGAATGTGTGGAATGTTTTTTTTTTTTGAAATTAGTGGAATATTTGGAATGTTTATTTTTTGAATGTTTTAGACCACTCGTATTTCGTTAACAACTCGGAAACAAATTACCTTTTTTTATGATTTCATTCTATAATCAAGTGCGGGGAAGCGTTGCACGTACGTTGAGATCCGACGAGTTTTCACTTGTGAAAATATCTAAAAAAAAAAAGATTGTAATACAAGGATACCAGAAATAAAGATTTTCCAAAACTATTTAAAAAGAAGCTTTTTATTGAAACTTAAATAATCACCCATTCATTACAGTCTATACTCAGCTTTGTATATATTTAATATGTAATCAGTTGTGTATTCTAATGCTCTTGATGGTTTTGTTAGTATTTGTGTGTTATTATTACGTTTAAGTTTGAGAGATGAGGGAATTGATTGAATAAAAAGTCGTCGCAAGTGAATTAATTGAAATAAAATTATTTCATTGTATATTTCAAGTACAAATCTTACTTCCTTGTACATTATTATTCTTCTTTTTTTCTTCTTTATTTAAATAAATTAACTTATGTTTCAGCAGTTTCCATACTCTCATCAGGTTCGGCTTCCATGTCCTCGTCCTCTACTTCTTCACCTTCCTTCTTCTCCGGTGGCTTTTCGTATGCCTTATCCAACGGACTGACAACGACACCATCCCAAATTGACATCTCCTTGGCAATGGAGGAGTTCCCCTCGAGTCCTAAGATATGCTTGTATCCGCCGTGCGAAAGCACCCTCAGCAATGTCTGCGCAGTCAAACAGCATACGTCCTGCTGTTCAAGCGTCATCGCCGTATGTATCCTGATGCTGCCTCCCTCGCAGGGGTCAGTGATTCCTGCAGATCCCGGCAAGAACAGTCCGGCAGCTAGAAGTTGAAAAACCCTGCGGAAGGCCTGGTTAATTGGCAACGCCTGTCTGCTCGGATTATTCATGATGGCAAAGTGAGCCAACAGATCAAGCATCCATGGGGTCAGCGGTTCGAATCCGTCGAACCTAGTCCTCAAGTCTCTCAGTAACCTGATCAACACCTTGATGGAGGAGTGATGGGCATTCTCCTCGAACCATCTGCTGTGTCTGATCGCAGCCAGATGGCTCATCATGATCATCGGATCCAGATGGATCTCGGGGTCTAACTTCCTGATGTTGTGATGTACAGTGGTAACCATGACACGCACGGTGGCGTAGCTGTTGGCAATTTCGATGCCTCTCTCGTTGATAGTGTGATTCAGGGATTCACCCTTATTGATGACCTCACTCTTCATCAGATTCTTCAAATCCTCCTTCACCTTATTTCCGAGAGCTTCCACAGCCTCTTTCGTCGGCAGCGTCTTCAGTATAACAACAATGTCTGCTACATTGTGTCCAGTCACCATCGTTCCTTTCTTGAAAGAACCAACCTGCCTCACCTCTTCCAACTGCTGCAATAGAAATTGTTAGTTTCATTATTTAATTCATTACATGAAATGACTCGTACAATGATGATGTTCGAGATTGGTACTTACACAGGCATCGAAGTTACCAGGAGCAACAACAAGATTGTCCAGTACCGTCTGTATCTTGGTTACCAAGTTGAGGATGGCCGTTTGCTCGGCGGGAGTGGGCGAAAGGTCTGCATTCCTCTTGAGGAGCGCCTGAGTGAAGACCGTCTCATCGGGGGTCGGTTTCACCCTTGGGAAGGCCGCTTCAGCCAGTGTCAGATCGAACGGATGTCGGGGCAGGAAGATCTTCGGTTTGTAGATGCCCCTGCCGACGCCTCTGCCCATTCCTCGGCCCCTCATTCCTCCACCACGAGCCATTACCATTACCACGAAGAAAAAAAAAGGACGCACAAACCAAATGCGAAATTACACCTAATCAATAACCTCTCCTCTCAAAACAACTGCAAACCAAACTATTCCACCACCAACAAAACAACGCTCAAGTGTTACCAAATCCATAACGCAAAATGTGCAAAAAAAAATAATAGATTATTAGCGAAATCCATTAAATTCTCACACTCTACTTCTTATATTAAACAATAGAATGCTTTAGAAATACGTTTCAATAATCGCATAATTCACCAAATAAAGAAAATTCTTACAACGTTAACAAAGTTGCATATCAGTATGCTCACAATATAGGCAACTTTTCTAACGAAGTGAGATAACGAAGATATAAATTTAAATTAATTTTATTTGTTTTAAAGTCACAATAATTCGTTGCTGTTTTATTGATGTTTCAGTAATATCTTTCAATTTAGTGTTTAGGCAACTAAATGAGCGTTGTGAAGGAGGCGTCGCGACGCTGCGCGTTTTAATCGAGCGCGCCTGTCAAAGTTTGCAGGAGCGTCGCTATATTTAGCTAGTTCCAAGATGAAGGAAGCGAGAAACGAGTCACCGAGCTCGGATGTGTTTTCCGATGGAATGGACTCCCTTTCGATGAGGGACAAATCGCTGATAAAGCGGTCCGTGTCGAAGCACCATAACAACAACTTCACCGCCGGCTACGTGCCCGTGCACGAGCAACACTTGCAGAAGACGGGGTTGCGAGGCCGCAAGACGTTCGCCTTCTGGACGCTCGTCGGGCTTCTCTTCGTCCTGGCCATCGGCAATCTCACGCTGACGATGACCATTCTCGGGGTGTTGCGTTTGGGGCAGGGAATGCAGAGTCTGGAGCTGGTGCCGGAGCAATCGGCGATCAAGCTCTTCGGCAACGCCGATTTGAATGACATCTACAAGCGGGACGGGAGGATCGAGGGTTTCAAGGATTACCCAGTCGACATCACCGGTTACAACTCGAGTCTGCACATCAAGCTGTCAGGGAAGAACGAGAGAGCGTTTAATAAGCTGATCATGGATAGGAACGGAACAACGATTAGGAACACGAAAGTCTTCAGGGTGAAGAACGATAATAAGTTGGTGTTCAGCACCGATTCGCCTACGTTCAATATCGAGAAGCCGGTGAACAATCTGAGAGCGAAGGCGACGCACGCGAGTCGCGTCGTCAGCCCCATCGGTTCCGACCTGCAGTTCGAGGGTCACAGGATCAACCTTAAGGGTGCAGAGGGTACGGCCATGGAGGGCAGCACCATCTCCATGACCGCCGACGATGACATCACTCTCAAATCGCTCAACGGGTCCATCATTTTGACGAGCGCCGGCGGCATCCACGTGGACACCAAAAAACTACCCATCTACATACCCAAATTCGCCAATTCGAAACCCATCAATCTTCAGTACAAGTTGTGCGTCTGCATGCCGCAGGGCAACCTCTTCAAGATACCCGTCACCAAGGACAACGATCGAGTCTTCTGCAACAACATCAACATATCGCAATTCAATCCCTGCGCCCAGAAGTTCTTCTAATCTGTACTCACCTAAAATCAAGAAAAATAGTCTTATTATGACTTTGTTGGCATGGCAATAAATTATAATGAATCATATTAAAGTAAAATTATTTTCGAAAATTTAAATAGTAAACGATAGAAAAATGTAACGTATTTAGTTTTAGAATTGCAAGGATTTTGTAAGGAAATGGAAGGATTTGATGCGATTAATAAACGTTAATCATCTCTGTATGCACGAGGGGCAAAACATTACGCGTTATTTTTATTGTGCAATGTTTTTTTTGTTTATATAAATATTTTTATGGCCATACGGTATTCTCGATCCATTCCAGATAGTGCGAAACTCTGGTGTATACGCCGGGTACCTGCGCGATTCCGCAGGCCTTACCGAAAGATGTCACCCCGATCAGCGTGTACATGCAGTACTCATTCAAATTGTAGATTTGAAGAGGACCACCTGAATCACCCTAAAAAACGAATACAAAACAAATAAAGCTCAATACTAATGGATAAATGGATTTGCTCACTTGGCAGGTGTCTTTACGCTCGGTGAAGGATCCGGCGCAAACCTGACTGTCGTCCAGAATTCCATCCTTGTAGTTGCTCCTATTCGGCGGATACTTCTCCCTGCACAAATTGTTACTGAACATGGATAAAGTTACTTTCAACAGATGATCGTTGTTCGTTCCGTAGAGTTCCACCAAACCCCACCCGGTGGCGATGGCTTCCTTATTGTCCAACACGCTCAACGTGTTCAAGCAAATGGGTCTGACGTAAGGCGTGAAGATCACATCTCGTTCCAACTTCAAAAGAGCGATATCGTTGTAACGAGACGGCCTCTTGTATTGCGGATGTCGAATCCTCTGGACGACGTTGTACTCTTGCGGATCGGCGTTTTCGTTGTCGTCTTTTAAGTTCAAATCGCCGACTCGCACGTATTTAGCTTCGCCGCTGCAAAAGCAAATGGATTAATTCAATTCACTGACTAATTTCGCGTCGTAATTACAAATTGTTGGTGTTTATGCAATGGGCAGCGGTGAGAACGAATCTTTCGCTGATCAAGCTGCCGCCGCAATGGTAACCCCTCTCGCCGGAACCCACATCGAAACCGATCGCAGCCTGAAAAGTTGTTATTTAAAACGCTGTTTNNNNAAAAACGTACCATGTGAGGAAACTCCTTGGGCTCCGCTTTGCTTCCTCCGACCACAAGTTTAACAGCTTTAAAACCGCACTCATTGCGCGTTATGTTCTTGCTGGGTCCGAAGGAAAGCGTTGGACGTTGGTAGGTGACGTTCACCAGCTTCGCATACTCCGAGCATTCTGTTCAACAAAAAACACGTATTAATAGGAATAAAGATTCAAACTTGATCCTAGCGCAATTTTCTATTATGTGTGTATACTAACTTTGGCTACTCTTCGTTCCCACTCCAGGTTGCACGATGTCCGGAGTAGCGACGTCTTCGGCGCAACAGATGATCGGCGCTGTGATCTCGAAGCTGCAGATCTGAGGTCGAATCATTTTCTGGAGGTCTTTTATTGCCGATGGACACGCTCCGATCAATTTGCAGACTCCAGGTTTCTGGTGGGTTTCATGGAAGCATCCTTCACCTAAATTGTAACATAAAGATGAAACGAATCAATGATTGCAATTTGAAATCTCTGAAAATCATCGTCTGAAAAAGTATAAAAACAAATATTAATTGATAAAAATAGTATTAGATATTAGTGATGAGAAAGTTTTTTTTTTTCTTTCAAATCAATATAATATCAATTAATGCAGGATATAGAATGGAATTTTGTTTTCTTAATTGATTTCGTAAATATGAGTTCAATAATGTTGTGTTGTGTCTGTAAATAAAAAGTGTAGGTAAAAAACACAGAAATAAATTGTAATAAATTTTGTCGCAAAATTTCACAATAGATCGTCTGGTGATGAAGGTCATCGAAGTTAATTTATCTGTCTGACTTACCTGCTAATTGACCTACGGTCAAAGTGACCACCGTCAAGAGTACTAGCGCACCGAACATCTTACCAGTGCAAGTGCGCTTCGAAGAATGTCCTCTTTGCACTTCGCCAACACGATTCTCCTGCTTTTATTGGAACTACCTGAAACCCGGTTCTAGCAGGTTAACGAGCCTGCATGCCGCTAATGAGCGGAAAAACGTAAATATTGCTGGACAGGGTATCATCATCATTTTCGGAGCCGTATATCATTTGTATGATAATTTTTTTTTTATTTTTTAATGCACGTTTGCAATTGACGTCACGGCCACACAGTCTTTTCGATCCAGTCCAGATAATGTGAGACCCTGGTGTAAACTCCCGGAAGATTGGCGGAACCGCAGATATTGCCTAAGGACGTGACCCCGATCAAAGAGTACATGCAGTATTGCTCCTCGTTGTGCACCTGGAGCGGTCCTCCGGCATGAGCCTGCAAAACCAGAAATTAATCAATTGTATTTTTTGAAGAGCGTAAACTTACGTTGCAGAGACCGGTTTGATCGGACCTGGAGGTGGCGCAGAACTGCCAATCGTCGGTGATGCCGCTCCTGTAGAGCTTCCTGGTGTCCGGGTACCGTTTCTGGCAATCCTCGGTGCTCATCAGCGAGGTGGTGAACCTACGGAGACGATTCTTCTCGTTGCCGTAACCGATGCCCCAGCCGGAGAAGATCGCCTTCTCAGATTCTATAACGCGTCTCGAGTTCAAGCAGATGGGTCTAACGTACGCGTTGAAGAGGACCGCACGCTCCAGCTTCAGCAGAGCCAAGTCGTGGTAACGCGACGGACTCTTGTAATCCGGATGAGCGATCCTCTCCTCCACTCGGTACTCTTGCGGATAAGCACCGTCGTTGGTGTCTTTCAAGTCCAGATCACCGAATCGAGCATACTTTGCATCCCCACTGAAACATTAAACAATATTAATCAGAATAAAATAAAGAAAAAGAACAGATGACGAACAAGACCATATATACAAGCTTCAATAATCGCAAACACGAATTCCTGTGATACGAAAACTTAACGATTGGGTAAGAACTACGAAAGACGAAGAAAATATCTAATCTATTGGTTAAGTGTCATTGGACAAATCAAGTCTCACCGTGAACTAGAAAGAAAAAACAAGATAGCCGAAAGAGCAAAACAAAATAATCACGGAACAGCCGAAGGATAATTGGAAAATAATTTGACGTTTCACTTTAGTTTTATTTTTCTTCTATTTTGAAATATTTAATAAAACTAAAGTGTAGATTAAAATTTAACGAAGAAAAACGTAATTTTCGATATGAAGCGAAGTTCATTATTGATATGTCACATTTTTGCTGAACGTTCTAATACGAAAGTATAACACAAAAAAATGAGTACTAATAATCAAATACTAGGAAATTGGAATTGTAAAAGTCGCAAATAAAAAATATTCAATTAAATTAAAACGAAAAAAAGTAATGCTTACTCGTGTACGAATGTGCGGGTAAAAGAGCGTCTCCCGGAAGTGAAGACCCTTTTATACCATCGTAACAAAAGCCTCACGAAATAAACAAATTGAAATCGCGTGGGTGTATTTACATAATTAGGCAACCGTAGATGCTTAACTGCAAACGTCTGTTCATATTTTTTTTCTTTAAGTTGCATAATTGTACAATCAGCGACATCTTTTAAAAAATACTGTAATCACGTTAATGTGAATTAACTAAATGTTAAATCGAAGATGAATTGTAAACTTACAATTGTCTGGTGTGTAGACAGTGGGCGGCGGTGAGCACGAATTGATCGCTGATCAAGCTGCCGCTGCATTCAAAAACTTTCCTGCCAACAGCATCCTCGTAACCAATAGCTACCTACAAAATAACAACAAAGAAATAAACAAATGTTGAAAACAAGTGAACGATTTGCATACCATGTGCGGCAGTTCCTTTACGAAAGCATCGTTCCCTCTAACCATCAACGGATTACTCTTAATGCCGCACTCGTCGCGTGTCAAGTTTCGATTCGATATGGAAAGAAGCGGCGTTTCGTATGTGATGTAGACCAATTTCGCGTAATCCGCGCATTCTGCAAAAGATCAACAACAACAAAATTAATTAAACGAAATTTACGATTTATTTTTACTTCACTGTTAGCGCTTTTATCTCCGATTGCATCCTTCTTTGGGATCGGACAGCACACGATTGGCGAGTTGATGCCGTAGCTGCAGAGTTGTGGTCTCTTCGCCTGCATCAAATCCTCGAGCGCGTCAAGACATTGTTCCGGTAACATGCAGACTCCGGATTTCTGCAGACGTTCATGGAAGCATGTGTCACCTGAATTTAAAACGTCATAAATTGACACATTCATTTTTTTTTTAAGTTGACATTACCAATGTCAAAAGTGACGTTTGAAATGTCATGTAAATTATCAAAAACTGAATGAATTGTATATAATATGTTTCGAAAACAATTCCAATTTTTTTATTCAAATTGAAAATATCTGAATATAATGCAATCAATGATTTAATAAATGCACAATACGTATTGTTCTCAACATTTCAATATTGTCACTGATATTTTTTTTTTATTTCGTTTTAACATATGTCACGTCATCTATTGTAAGTAGATAATAAATTTGACCTTGGGATTTCAGTAATGCTTAAATCCTGCAGTTTTACTATATAAAACATAAGTTTTCTTAATTATTAACTCAAATTTATATTCAAATTAAAAACTTGGAAATTTGAAAATATGAATAATTAATAATAATAATATGTTTGTAAATTATTTGAAGATTTAGAAAGTTTAATTTATAATTAATTAATAAAGTTTGTTTTGTTTTCGCGAGTAAAAGAAGAAAAATAAACAAATTGCGTACCCGCTGTCAATTGGCCCGTAACCAAAGAAACCATCACCAAGGAAACCAATGCTCTAATAAACATGATGTTGTCTGCACGGGGCACGATAGTCGATTGATATGATTATTTCAAAAGAGACAAAACTTTGTTGTTTCCATCTCCCTGGGCGACGTGATAGTCATGACCGGATTTCCCAGCTGACCTAATAATAAAAAAAACCTCGTGAATAAATGAACGCAATAATTAATCTTTGTTTCGAACTGATAAATATTCATTTTGCAACAAAAAAAAAATAATGTACAGTTAGTTGAAACGGTTTCTCTCAAAATTAATTTGGGTCCATTTTACAGTTCAAAATTGGCATTGCTTATGCAACCAACTTTAACGGATTACAAACTTTCGAATGATTATAACGATTCCCAGTAATCAAAACACACAATCAGGATGTAATCAGTAATGATAATCGTGTGGTTGCGGTCAACGATTGTAATTGCATCTTTTTCGTTTCTGCTTATTCAAATTGCGTTTCAAAGAAGTTACATAATTATTTTTTTTTATGCAACCACACAAACCCTTTGCATAATGAATTGCATAGCTCGCAGTGGGAGATTTGCAATTAAAAACCTTTAATTTAATAATTTTTCATTTACTTTACAATTAACTGTAAGAAATTAATAACAACAACAACATCAACAAAAAAAAAGTCCGTTAATTTTCAATTGGAAATTCTGCGCTTTCGCCGAACAATTTCACGCCGCGTTATTTTGATTGTTTCTCTCGATCATTTGGCGGAAAATTAGTGTCTCCTTTTTTTATATATTTGTATTGCATTCGTTAGATGGAAAAAAGAGAGAATTATAAACGAAATTGCGAATGAAGTTAATTGCGTATTAAGCGTGAATTCCACATAAGGAAGACCGGAAGGTTTGGGGAAAATTGCGAGATCAAAGATCGCTGCAAATGTGGAAAAATAGTTGCGCAAATTTCTTGGAAATCATTTCTAAACGTAAACAAATCAATTTTAAATGACTTACTATAGATAAGAAAAAAAAAAACGTATCGTGGAAATGTAGTAAACGTTGTAGAAATTTACGTCCAATGTTCAATGGAACAAATCTATTATTTTTTGACTTGTCATTGAATTTTTGTGTATATCTCAAATACTAATAATGTTAGATCTAATAATCAATATGGAAATTAAAGCTAAGACTATGTAGAATCAAATACGCTTTGATTCATGAAGATATTGGCAACATGTATGGAGTTGTGAACAATCGAAGATAAAATTTGGTTCACAAACAGTGTCACTGATTTTTGCGTGTATTTCGAAAACTAATAGAGGTAGATTGGATTTTGAACACTTGTATGAAAGCTAAATCTATACGGAATGTTATGTGCATTGAATCATGTCGGTATCATTTGTATGTAATGAGAAATGGGCAACGAAAAGTGCATAAATGTTACAGTCAATGCGGAACGCGAATTGTCATATATAATATTGTGAATTTAATTGGGTTCAACGTCGGTATCGTGCGGCGATATTGGAATATTTCCTAGTTTTCGTAGATACGATCGTAGCGTGGGATCACGACGCGAACAAGTGAGGAACGGTGGAGCGGGCGGTGTTGTGTCATTGGCGTATCGTAAGAAGAAAAATCGAGATACCGAGAAAAGTTGAAATACGTTTTCCGTGAGAGGTCAAATTATTGTCGTTAAACGTCATTATTTTTTTTCTTCTCGTTTCTTTCTAAAGTGTAATTAGAATGTGAAATAATCGCAAACGACTTTTATATTGTTAATTTTTCATTTATGTAATCAAAAAATTTGGCGCCTGAAGGGAATTGCGGAAGGATTTGAATGCACTTACATAATTTCATTGACTTTTTGACATTTGCGTGTCGCGTGCATGCATGCATGCATACATACACAATCTGCTGCTGCCATCTCTTATCCGTCTTCCTTCAATTTCATATTTCTCTTTCTCTCTATCTTTTCGCGATGATGAATGCATTTGATCTCTTCACATTTTCCACGACACGACGCTCGTGTCCGCGCTCTATGTTTTCCTGCCGCAATGAATACGTAAATAAACGAAAATAATAATTTCGTACAAATTCTCCCATTCGATCGAAGCGAGGAGATAAGACAGACGACCGCTTCGCTTCTACATTCATTCTTCTGGGAGGCAACATTCATTTATTTTTGTTTTACTCGACTCTTCTTCATCTTTTGTAGCAACAACAAATGCCAATAACTCATAGCACGGAGACGGCGATGTAATTACGGAACACACGCATCGCGCGCATTCGAGATTTATTTATCCTCGCGGGATTCGCAATTTTTATTATTACATTCTCGCATTGTTTTCGCATCTCCTTCTTCCTCCCCTTCGTCCGGCACGAAGCGAAGGGAAGATCGAAGCGTAAAGATTACCACCAACTTCGATGCAAAAAAAAATAACCAGATTATACAACAAACTTCACATAAACACAACCCAAATAACACCAACATAATTAATCAATCAATTTGAGTTGCATAATCTTAATTAAACACAATTCCCCAAATAACTACACAACTTTCACAGTACATTTTTTTTGAGATTCTTTTTATAAATTTACTTTGATTGTTTTCATGTCTTCGCATCTTCCACTTCATTAATCTTGAAGAGAAATGATCAAAGTATGATAAAAAGAAATAACCAAATTATACAACAAACTTCACATGAACACAACCCAAATAACACCTACATAATAATTGAAGTTAATCAATCAATTTGAGTTGCATAATCTTAATTAAAAGCAATTCTCAAAATAACAATAATTTTTTTTGAGATTATTTTTATAAATTTACTTTGATTGTTTCAATGTCTTTTCATCTTTCACTTCATTAATCTTGAAGAGAAATGATCAAAATTTGGATATTACCATCAACTTCGATAAAAGAAATAACCAAATTATGCAACAAACTAAACATGAACACAACCCAAATAACACCAAAATCGAATGACGTTTCCAAAACAATTTGGGTTGTATAACCGTAATCGAACCAATAGAATCAATGATATTTTTTCAGAAAAAAGGTGTTGACCGATTTATCGACTATTTGTTTTTTTTTCTTCTTGTTTTGTTTACTTTTCATTCATTATATGAGAACGTGTAACGGCAGACAATCGCGAAGATAAATCTTCGTGTTTTATAGCAAATATGATATTTATCGATTGAATTGAATAATCCGTTTGATATTGATATTGAATGGAAATTTCCTGCTTTATCTATGCTATGAGTCGCGCAATGTGGCAATGCAACTGGAGCGTGTAATTATCGTTTATCAACTTAACAATTACTTAAATGGATTATCAATGTTGGAATAACACTACGATCGAATTTTGTAGAAAAATTATAAAGATTTAATTAAAATTAAAGTTTGATTATGAAAAATCAAACTAATTGAACTAATTAGATGATCGAAGAAGTGGATTTTATTGAATTACTCAAAAACTAAGAAATGTTATGGGGAGATTGAATATGCAATTTAAAGGTGTAAATGTAAGGAATAATGTGTTGTTATTTGTGATGTTGTAACTCAGCGTTTTCCAAACTGTGAGGTGCGCCTCCCTGGGGAGGCGTCAACTAGTATAAGGAGCAGTGTTTTTACATTTCATTGATTTACTCAAAAACTATAATACATAGAATGAATCCAAAAGATGCTATGAAAGCTGAATGTTTGGGGAATCTAAAGTATTGATATATTACTGTGGTTTTA